TAATCATTTTTAAATATGTTTTAAATATTATTTTTTACTTTTATATATTTTTATAATTTTTAATATATTTTTGTATATTTTGAAATATATTTTTTTGGCCAAATGGGATGCAACATTGACACTTGTAGAACTAAACTGAATCAACACTGAACTGAATTTAGCTGAATAATGACTCCATTGTCTTCTGTAGAGCTGCTTATAGCTGAATCAAATTCGTTTCATAATTGTTGCATTTTGCATTTTCCTGTTTATTTCTGTAAAGCTGGTGTGTAGTTGTATAAATAAATGCGCCCATCGAATTCAAACCACGTTTCTCTCTCTCCGCGCAGCAGAGGAGCCGGCGAGGGAAGGTGTTTGGGAAGGTGAGCTGCAGGAATATGAAACAGGACTGTCCCGATCCGACCTGTGACGATCCGGTCTTGCTTCCAGGACACTGCTGCAAAACATGCCCAAAAGGTAACACACAGATGCAGAAATATGAGTGTGTGAGTGTGTTTCTGCAAATGGTGAACAAATGGAAACACAGTCCAGCGTTTTTTTTGGAATGCCGTCACACTGTTATACGGGAAAAAAGTGTGAGGGAATGACGGAAACTTCTGGCCAGCGCTGTTTCTCGCAGACAAACTGAATGATAAATGGCAGCAAGTGTGGACAGATGATCTGGTTTGGCATAATTGCACTCATGTTTATGGATGCCGGTCCGTAATCATTTTTAAATATGTTTTAAATATTATTTTTTACTTTTATATATTTTTATAATTTTTAATATATTTTTGTATATTTTGAAATATATTTTTTTGGCCAAATGGGATGCAACATTGACACTTGTAGAACTAAACTGAATCAACACTGAACTGAATTTAGCTGAATAATGACTCCATTGTCTTCTGTAGAGCTGCTTATAGCTGAATCAAATTCGTTTCATAATTGTTGCATTTTGCATTTTCCTGTTTATTTCTGTAAAGCTGGTGTGTAGTTGTATAAATAAATGCGCCCATCGAATTCAAACCACGTTTCTCTCTCTCCGCGCAGCAGAGGAGCCGGCGAGGGAAGGTGTTTGGGAAGGTGAGCTGCAGGAATATGAAACAGGACTGTCCCGATCCGACCTGTGACGATCCGGTCTTGCTTCCAGGACACTGCTGCAAAACATGCCCAAAAGGTAACACACAGATGCAGAAATATGAGTGTGTGAGTGTGTTTCTGCAAATGGTGAACAAATGGAAACACAGTCCAGCGTTTTTTTTGGAATGCCGTCACACTGTTATACGGGAAAAAAGTGTGAGGGAATGACGGAAACTTCTGGCCAGCGCTGTTTCTCGCAGACAAACTGAATGATAAATGGCAGCAAGTGTGGACAGATGATCTGGTTTGGCATAATTGCACTCATGTTTATGGATGCCGGTCCGTGTAGAACATTGGCTCTATTGTGCATTCTACGATTTTTCTGACATCATGCATTTCGGTTTCCGTGGTTACAGGCGACTCGGGGAGAAAGGAGGCGGAGTCTCTGTTTGAGTTCTTCCAGGAGAAAGACGACGACCTGCACAAGTCCTACAACGACAGATCCTACATCAGCTCTGAAGAGAACAGCAACCGAGACAGCGCCACCGGTGAGACTCCAGACACTCCTCATAATGCATTCACCATCTGTTCAAAATGGTCATCACTTAATATTTTTCAACTGAAACCACACTGAATCTGATCAGCAACTTCTCATTAATGAGTTTTGAATGTTACCATGTTATTACGGCATTTACTAATTTTTACTCAATTAAAAAATTGAGAAATTCTTCGAAATGTCAAATTACACATGAACTACACTGAAAAAACTATAATGCAAAATTTATATAAATATTTTTTCAATATTCTTAAGATCTTTTATTGTAATATATCATTGTATGAAATTTATAACGGCATATAATCTGAGAATTACCAGTGTTGACCCCATTGGAATCAATGGAATTTAAATACATTCTTGAAACAGTCCAAATTTAGGAAACCTACATATTTATTTCTAACAAAACAACATAAATATCACTCTGAAAAGTTTTGAAACAATGTAAACTTATTTTACTTGCATGAAATTTAGTTTCAGGTGAAAGAAAGTGATTTTACATGCTGCAGTGGTTCGTCAATAGGCGCACATATTCATGTTTATTAACAAAATTCAGTCCCAAAAGTGTGAGAGATTTGGGGAAAAGGCTACAGTAAATATATTTTACAAAAGTTTTTGGCACTAATATAACTCCATAGATCGTTTAACAATAAAATTTCTTTTAAAACCAATTCTTTTACCAAATGCTCTATACATACCCGGGTCAAAATGACCCGACCGCGAAATGTTTATTTAAATGGTTATATCTCTTAAAACATTGCTATAAAAAATCTGAAAAAAATAAATGATGTGTATTTTGAAGATCTTAAAGCATCTGCAAAGTTTCGTTCACTTACTAAAAGCTATGCATTGTTTAGAAATGTTTATGCATTTCTTCCGGGTCAAAACGACAGTATGATTAACCTGAGGTATTGTTGAACAGATTTTGTGGCTGTACTCACGGGTGTGACGGACTCGTGGCTGCCGAGCTCCAGCGGCGTCGCACGGGCCAGATTCACACTCGCTCGAACGAGCCTGACCTTCTCCATCACGCTCCAGAGGTAACACACACGCCAGAGCAGATGTGATGTCAAACACAATCCTCTGTCGCTCACTTTACACTTGTGCTTGTCTCTTAGGATGAGCAGGCCGAGCGTCATCACGTTCCTGGACTCCGATGGAAACACGGCCTTTGAGTTCAGAGTACCGCGGGCGGATACAGACATGGTGAGTTATTATCGTTAACTAAAACCATTGAAATAACATTTAGCTATTTACATGAAAAAAAAAATACAAAAACTTATATAAATAAAAAAAATATATTAAATTAAGAAAAATTATAATAAATAATAAGAATTAAATATTTAAAAAATATATATAAAATTAAATTAAGAAAAATTATAATAAATAATAAGAATTAAATATTTTAAAAAAATATATATATATTAAGAAATTAAGAAAAACAAATTAATAACAAAAACAAAAATCAACTAAAATTAAAATGAAAACAGAAAATATTAAAACGTGTTTAATAAATATAAAATAAAAATAGGAAAATGAAGAAAAATAAAATAAAAATGAAGAAAAAACTAATTAATAACAAAAACACAAAATTCAACTAAAATTAAAATGACAACAGAAAATATTAAAATGTGTTTAATAAATATAAAATAAAAATGAGGAAAAATAAAATAAAAATTAAGAAAAATAAAATAAAAATTAAGAAAAAACTAATTGATAACAAAAACACAAATTTCAACTAAAATTAAAATGAATACAGAAAATATTAAAACATGTTTAATAAATATAAAATAAAAATGAGGAAAAACAAATTAATAACAAAAACACAAAATTTAACTCAAATTAAAATGAAAACAGAAAATATTAAAACGTGTTTAATAAATATAAAATAAAAATAAAATAAAAATTATAAAAATTAAGAAAAATAAAATAAAAATTAAGAAAAAACTAATTAACAAAAACACAAATTTCAACTAAAATTAAAATGAATACAGAAAATATTAAAACGTGTTTAATAAATATAAAATAAAAAGAAAAATGAAGAGAAAAAAAAGAAAAAAAAGAGATTAATAAAAAAAAACAATTCAACTAAAATTTAAAATGACAACAGAAAATATTAAAATGTTTAATAAATATAAAATGAAAATAATAAAAGTGAAGAAAAATAAAATAAAATAAAAATGAAGGAAAAACTAAACAATAACAAGAACACAAAATTCAACTAAAATTAAAATAGAAAATAACAGAAAATATTAAAATGTGTTTAATGTTTAGATCTGTGGAGTTTGGAAGAACCTGCCGAAGTCTCACCTGCGGCAGCTGGAGGCGGAGCAGCTGCGTGTTTCCATGACAACCGCTGACAACAAGGAGGAGATACAGGGCAAAGTCATCAAACACAGAGCGCTGTTTGCAGGTGCGTGTCAAACCTTACATTCGATCCCTTTCATAGTGTGATGTGTTCAGACGTTTAGGCTCATTTCCTACGGTTTGTCTGACAGAAACCTTCAGTGCGATCCTGACGTCTGACGAGGTGCATTCTGGGATGGGAGGAATCGCCATGTTGACGCTCAGTGACACGGAAAACAATCTGCATTTCATCCTGATCCTGCAGGGACTCGTTCCTCATGGGAGCTGTAAGGACAAAGAAATAAAAAATTAAATATTAATAAAAAAAATATTAAAAATAATAAAAATATTTATTTAAAAAAATTGAATAAATCTTTAAAAAAAAAAAAAAAAGTAATTTAATAACTATATATATATTTTTTATTTTGTTTCAGCCTCTGTAAAGGTGCCGGTCCGAGTGAAACTGCTGTACCGACAGCATCTGCTGAGAGAAATACGAGCAAACATCTCTGCACACGTGAGTTAAAACACACATGTATACATGCATTTACTGAGCGAAATTAATATTAATGAAGCATAGTTTGTG